ACGGGCGGCTGCAACAACTTAGATTTTATACGTAAATTTGTCGTATATGATTTGTGACAGGAGTTGTCGCGCCATCTATACGAATATGACTATTCATTGTGAACTACTAGCGACTCGTAGCTGTCACATGCGTTCACAAGACATAACCTCACATTTTATTTGATCTCTTGACCGTTGACACGCATTCGCATCCGTTCGGACTCGCTCAAAACGTGTTTATAATTATATATCATACTCGTAAAAAGTATTCAGAAAATCGTGAAAAATTCATTTAATCTCAAGTGATTTATATTAGGAACCAAAGTTTTAATCATAAATAAAATCAAAAGTTATATTTATTTTCAATATTTCTTCAAACCGTCGGGTTTTTATCGGATTTATAAAATGAGAGAAAATTTAAACAAAAGTGCACCAGCTGCACTAAAAAATGGCGCTCCGAAGGATAAAATAAGAGCTAATTTAATCAAAGCCTTTCCGAAATTGGAAAAAGTGTTGACCTCAACAGCCCGTGAAGTGTGCGAAACCAAAGCCGCTTTACTAAATGGTAAGTGGTTTTTTTTACAGTTTTTACGCGATTGAATTTTTTTTTTAAATTTGGTCATCATTTTTTTTCGATTTTTTCAACAATAGTAACCCGTTCGAACGAAACCGGTGCAGCAGCAAGCAACACACCAAAGCAAACCGCTCCGAAAGGAGGAAAATTGTCGATCTCAACAAGCCGTGAAGTGTGCGAAACCAAAACCGCGGCACTCAAAATGCCTAAGCAAACCGCTCCGAAAGGAGGAAAATTGTCGATCTCAACAAGCCGTGAAGTGTGCGAAACCAAAGCCGCGGCACTCAAAATGCCTAAGCAAACTGGTTCGACCAACGGTAAGTAGATTTCAACTAATTTTCCTCCATATTTTTCAATGGTATCGATGGCTCATCGATATGTGTACTTCATGTCATTTGACAATTTTCTTCAACATTTTTTCTCGATTTTTTTCGGTGGCTCAATGAAGCCAAGCGTGCACGCGAACAACCTGATAACGATGCAACGAGCGCTGCCAAGCGCGCCAAGACTTCGGAAGATGTGCCAATGAAAATCCTTTCGAACGAAACCGGTGCAGCAGCAAGCAAAACGCCAAAGCAAACCGCTCCAAAAGGAGGAAAATCGTCGATCTCAGCTAGCCGTGAAGTGTGCGAAACCAAGCCTAAGCAAACTGGTTCAACCAACGGTAAGTAGATTTCGACTCTTTTTTCTCCAAATTTTTCGATGGTATCTATGGATCAACGATATGTACTCGTATGTACTTCACGTCATTTAACAATTTTTTTCAACATTTTCCATCGTTTTCTCCGTTTTTCTCTCTCGATTTTTTGGGTGGCTGAATGAAGCCGAACGTGCACGCGAACAATCTGATAACGATACAACGAGCACTGCCAACCACGTCAATACTTCAAAAAAAAGTGCCAAATCGTCTCACTGTGTGCCTGAATTGCGGACAGTATGGTCATGGTGCTCATGCTGATGTTTCGTATTGTATGTGCGACCATATGTGCGATAGCTCGTTGCAGATTAACAAGTTGGACGAGTGTATTGCACTGATCACAAAAGCACGCGAAAATAGAAAATCGGAGCAAATCATTTCGTCAACAATGCTTGAAAATTCGGTGGAAAATACTGTACTTCACGCCCCGTATTCGCCAATTCCGCAAAATTCTATGGCCGCACCACCACCACCACCACCACCACCACCACCACCGCCGCCGCAGACGTCAGCAAGCGGAATGGCCCTGTCTCCATTGATGCAGCAGGCTGTGCCACTTCTACGCTCGATCTTGAATTTGATGGATTCAAAAATGGGAACCACCAGTTCAATGGAACATTTGCCAACATCCACTCCGATAACGACGAAAAAACCAAATGATGGTCCGCTCATGCCAACTGACTTGTCAGAAGATTTGCAAAAAGCGATCAAGTATGATTAATTATTTACTTTATGTACAATTGTTTTAATTTCATAAATGTTCATATTTTACCCGATTTTTTTCAACAGGAAACATGCTGCAAAGATGAAGGCGCATTGGGACGAAGGTGAACGTGACCGGTTATTGCACCGTGAAGCTAGAGCCATGGAACAACGTAAGGCAATGGCCAAGCATGAACGAGGTGGGGAGGAAAAACGCAGAAACGCGCCGAAAGAACCAAAACGGCAATAACGACGGAACAAAATGATGGTGGCCGAAGTAACAAGCGACCGCAAGCGACAGAATGATGCTGACAAGCGAATTTCATCATAATTTTTTCATAGCAATCTTTTGGTACAAATTTTTATCAACTTTCATTATCTATTTCTATGTTTTCTTCAAACTTTTTTATTATACTGGATAAATACATGAATAAATGAAGCATCAAAAAGCAATATTCAAACTGTGTACATTTTGTTTTCTGAAATAAAAAATAATTGTCGATATGCATTTCACACAACTGTGAAACATTGGTTGGTGTACACCAACCGGTATTTTGCTTACGGAATTGCCGAAAAAACCGCGAAACTATTTTCTTAGAAACCAAACACATTGTACCAATCAACTTTATAAATAAACAATGAATGATTTTCTGAAATAAAAAATAATCGTTTATATGCACTTCACACAACTGTGAAACATTGGTTGGTGTACACCAACCAACCTCTCACAGTTGTGTGAAGCGCACATCGATGAGTCATCGATGGGTGTCGATGACTCATCGATGTGCAATTCACACAACTGTGAAACATTGGTTGGTGTACACCAACCAATGTTTCACAGTTGTGTGAATTGCACATCGATGAGTCATCGACACCCATCGATGACTCATCGATGTGCGCTTCACACAACTGTGAG